TCGCAGGGCGTTGTCATAGATTCTGTTCAGCTCCTTGGCTGCGTCGTAGCCGGCATGGTGCATGAGTAGACGTATTTCGATGAGGTAATCCTTGAACAATTCCCCTACCGATTCCTTGCGGGCCCGGATCCAATTGTTCAAAATACCGTGGCGGCAAGAAGAATGTCCGGAAATATGCCGAGTATCTGCCTTGCTGTTGGCTGGTGCGGTACCAGCGACTGGCCCGATCGGTGAGAAGTTCTGTCATGGCCCTAGGCAGCCGAGAGCGCATGTCTTCGAGTAGTTCCAGAAAAGCTTTTGGGTCGTCCCGTCCGTCGAACCTGACTCCCCATTTCCGAATCTGTTCCGCGATGTGAGCGGTGTGGCTGTGGTGGCATCCATCTATTGGAGGGTCGATGGCTGGCCTCCGTAACTGGAGGCCTGGGCAAATCGGCTGGCGTTACGATGCGTGGTGGGCCAGGTGTGCTGTATTCGGCCGCGGTGTGGACTTGTAACCCGGCTTTTGGGTCGGTTTTCCGCTGGTCAGATGGCCCAGGAGGGGTGGGCATGGGTGATCTAGAGCGTCCTGCTGGCTTGGCGTATTGCCGTTTGAGGTCTCCTAGTCGAACCCAGGCGTCCTGCCTGTCCCGGCGACAAATGCGGCGAATCTCTTTCGTCGTTCCTCGACTGTTCCTTCGTTGCCAAATCCGAATTCCTCGGCAAGGGCTTCCAGCTCGTCCCGCCGGAGTTTGTAAATCCATCCGGTGGTGACCCCTGGATTGGTGTCCCTCAGGGTAAAATTCGTCGGGTTGACCGTCTTTGTGGGCTTCCATGGTGTGTTTCTGGGGTTAGTGGCACTGACTTACGTTTGGGTGGTGGTACTTCCGTACGGTAGCACTTTCGTTCGATACTCATAGGATCGGCACTGCGGCACTACTTGTTCGCGATCGGATTTAGCGTGGGCGGGGTTTTGTGCTTGACGGTTATTGATCCTTGCTAGCCTAGTCTCTTTCTGTGCCCGTGGATCTTTACTCCACAAAGCTCCGTATTAAGGTGTTAGTCGTCTTAAAGTCACCAAAAAGTCCCTGCTCGGTCGCCACTTATGAGGTTCTATCTCAGGCTTAGGTATGTTTCAGTCTGTCCAGGGTCCGCTACAAGAAAATTTGTAGATCGCAGGTGACTTCAGGTGTCGAGCTGGCTTGAAATGCAGTAGGCAAGGGAGAAATGATGACGCGAGAGTTTGGTTTTAGTTGTTCTTGGTTTATTCAGTACTTTTCATTTACTTAGTTATTTAAGTTGTTGCCCTTGCTTTTGGCTGTGTGGTGCGGTGGTGGAGTGTGTGGTGTTTTGCGTTTGTGACTGCCTAGTGCAGTGTCTTGTGTTCTTGGCCTCTTTTGTTTTCGGTCTGATGTACTGCCTAGTGCAGTGTCTTGTGTTCGGGCTGATGGACTGCCTGCTCTTTCGGCCGATCTTGGCCCTTTTATGCAGCTGGCGATCGCACCTGAGACCCGGAAATAATTGCTTATTGCTAACTTTTGATTATTGGGGGACAATAATTTTGGGGCGTGGTAAGTGGGTCGAAGCTGGGTGCATCGTTGACAATTGCTTAGTGGGTCAGTGGGTTTGAGAAAAGTGTTTTGCTGAGACTGCATCGCGGTAGGTGTGGGCTGCAGTTGGGAATTGGGTTTTTGCTACCTCCGCATCGCGAAGGTGATATCTGAATTTGGGTCGATGTTTCGTTGCGAAATATGGCCAAGAAGTGGGTGACCGAGAATTTCGAGCTGTTTTTTTTCCGCTGATTGCGAAATAATGCAGAATGGGTAGAGTTGTTGATCGAGAGTTCTTAATTTTAGTAATTACGTGCGTTTCTTAAGACGCACCGCTATTTGTGGAGAACCGTGGTTCGTTCGCTCTGTGTATATCAGTTTGATTATTGTTGCCGACTAGCGTGGATGCGCTGACACTCCGCCGTTTGTGACGAGCCATGGCTAGAAACGCTGGCAGACTGTCAATTCCTCATTTACACTTCTGTAGAAGCTATACGAGGAAGAGGAGGAGTCGGTCCCCCACTTCTTCTCTGTCCGTCCCTGTCCGGCCCTGGGAAACCGTAGGCTACAGCTTCTTGGGGCTCCTTTCCTCACCGCCATTTCGGACCTGTCCAAAATCAGAACAGGGATCTTGTCCAAATACAACCAAGCCGAATTTGACTGCCCTTAATTCTGCAATAAGATTTATCACCACGGTTTCGGGGAGAGAGGGTACTGTCACAGAATCAAGTGAGTTGGAGGGGGAGGGTTTTCTCTCTCTCCAACTACCGCCTTAACCTAACCTAACCTTATGTCACTGTTATCGAAGTAGAAGCCGAACAACTCAAAACAGAAAACAGAGCTTTTAAAATAAGGTAAGGGAATCAAAGGGAACAATGTACAAAAAATATCAGGAAAATTTAGGGATCAATTTTTTTTTTTCAAGTTCAAGTTAAAAAACAATCCAAAAATTAGATGGTTGGCAGATAAATATACCCGTCCTCGAAGAGTTAAGGGGTATATTAGATTTTTTTTAAAAGCTGATGTGTTTAACGCAGAAAAGGAAACATTTCCGACCCCATAAAGTATATTTATTCTTGATCAGCATCAATAGCCGAGTCGATATAGCCATGTCTGTCTGTCCGTCCGTCTGTTCGTCTTGATGAGCGCCTAGTTCTCAGAGCCTATCAGATCTGGAGCAACCAAATTTTTTTTCCAGACTCATGTGATATCACACTGCTACAAGTGAATTACCAAGAATTACCATATCTATTAGTATGCCGAATCTGATTAAGATTGGATCAATTGTATAGCCAGAAATTAATTTTCAGTTGCTTCCCCCACCTCCTCCAGCACTGCTGACGCTACTTATTCTCTTTCTCGCTCGCACACACTCTGCCCTGTGCAAATCGCGACCTTTGCGGATAAGATGTAGAATCTTAATTGTATATGTAGATAACAGATGTAGCAAAAAAATTTAAAATATTTTTAAATTCTACATAAATAATTGTTTATTAAAATGTATCTATTAGTAAAGTTTGATAAGTAATAAAGTACAGAAATATAACGGTACATGAAACTGAATTAAATAACGCACAGTGGGGCCTCAGCCGCAAAGAGGTATCAGAAGTCAATGAATTTGTTGTTCAGGTAGAATAAAAAGTAAGCCGTGTGAGTACGATTTTGTTGTTGGCATATTTTTCTATGTGTATTAATTTGTATCAATGTTAAATGAAAAACTGGTCCGTTGCATAGACAGTTCTAGAGAAAATATTATTTTAAATAAGGGTCAATGTGATTTATGCCATATATTAGAACTTATGGGATAATTGTGTATCCATTAAGTTATGGTCAAATTGTTCTTAAAAGATTTGACCAAGGATGGTCGGAATATTTTGAGGGTCAACATTTGTACCAAAAATTAGTTAGTTAATCTCAAACTTTATTTTTGATACATAATAATAATTTAAAAATGTATTTAATATTATTTGTATTTTGGGTTTTAATTTAATTGAATTTTTTATTATCTATTTATTTAAAAAGCTTATATTTATAATATGACACTGAAGATGTTATGGAGATTAGTAAATCTTTGAATATAGTGAATTATATTTAGTAATTTATAAAAAAATAATATTTTATTTTTGCAATGAAAATGTAATGTTTTGTTTAAACTATATAAACAGAAGTATAAATGGAATTTAACCATTAAAAGAAAAAAGTTAGTAGCTTTTACTTGATCACCATGCTTCCTTAATCGGAGTTTTTACTCAATTGTATCATTAACAGTAATAAGCCTCTTTTTGGCTTCAATTAAAGAATAAGGGTAAATTACCTAAGATTAGGTCGAAACTAATTGCAATAAATCGCTTCATATTCTTTAATGTAGATTGGGTTTCCAATACTTTTTGAATGCAAATCAAATTTTATAATTAACTACAACCCTAATTAATTTGATCAGTTTAATATTCCTTGGTTTCATTCGTAGTATAAATTAGTAGGATTAAAATAAAAATAATTGAGGTTGTAATTCAACTAAAAATATTTGAAAATTTGAGAATAATAATTTTTCGTAAAATTAAAGAAATAAATCAAAAATTAAAGATGTATATAAAAGATGTAGCAAAAAAATGTAATATGTAAAATTTTTAAAGATTCTAAAATTCTGAAAAATCATAGGCTCAAACATGTATTTACTGACTGAGTACGGGTATAAGTAGAGTTGCGTCCCCAGAAGCGCCTCATACGCTCCATCTCGTTTTAATTTAAAAAAGTTATGTTTGATTAAAAATAAAATTTTAAATTATTATATGAAGTTATAATAACCATAGCTTTCTTTATCGATGAATAAAACCAAAGTTTAGCACACAATGCACCGCAAACAGGCAAATATTCATCGGAATCAAAGTTCAACTTTGACTATTTATTGTAGAGCTTCTAGACATTGTAGCAACAACTATATATCGCAGACTAAATTTTTGAAGATTTTCCTTTTAAATGCAGTTTTATTCATGAAGATATCTTGATTTTATTAATCTAACAAGCTGAAGTGGCAAAAGTCTCCACTGTTCGACGCGTCATTCGTCATCTGGTCTCATTATTAACCCTTTTCGCTGGAGGTAGGATTGAAACTTTTCTCTTCTCGGCCTCTCGCTCGTCGATCTTCTGATCTGAGCTCCCTTTTCGTTAACGGGAATTCGCCTCAGAGTTAATTCACCCTAGCTCATTTTTTGGCAATAACCAGCCCACATAATAGTAGGGTAAATCAATTAAGTTAAATGGAATCATAATGAATCAAATTTAAAATCATATATAGTATGTATGTAGTTCACAAACATAGGACCGATCGCATTTCAAAAGCTTGGAGGCTAACCTTCCGTTCTTTTTAGGTTCTTTTACATTTTTGACAATGATCAGTGTCTTAAACTTCTTAGAACTTCTTTAATAATCTCTTAAATTAGTAAATATGTCACCTAGTGGTTGATGGTAACTTACGAGTTAAGCTCCAGGTCCAGGCGAAATTTATGATTAAATGCCTTGATTAGCAGCGAGGTGCGATGAAAATGTTTCTGTAAGTTATAAGAAATCGGTGCATTAATAACACTATGTAACACCACATTTCCGTTGTGAACACAAACAAGCTTCTTAAAATAAATTTGGGGCTTGCAAATTTTTTAAGGAGTTGTGGTGTCTGTAATGTTTTAAAAATTTGTAAATATGCTTTTTTCAGAGGTAGTGCTTTGTTTTTTCAAATTACTTAAGTATCTTTTACTTGGTTGTTTTGAACTGTACTGTTGTATTCTAGAAAGCTAACAAATGCAGCTATAAATCGGAACCAAACTTTTTGTAGCTTAAGCTTATCGTCTGGAAATTATTAAGCTTTCAAATTCAGAATTTATAATTTGTTGCGGTATTTTCTTCTAAAATGTTGAATTTAAAAACTTAAGAAAAGTCGAAATGAGATCCCGTGTGTTTTTTTTGGTGTGTACAAGAGCATTAATTAGGCGTCGTTTAAGGTATCGGTCATTCAAATCTATGAATCTATTCGACAAAATCGAATTTTTTCATCAAGGAACCAAACCGACTTTCTGATAGATTTGGGGTTTTCAATTTTTTAATGAATTATTGTTTTTTTTTTTTAAGAATTTCATTTATTGTCATGTTTTTTCAGAGGTAGCGCTTATTTTTACACCCGTACTCAAAAAGAGTTAAGGGGTATATTGTATTTGTGTAAAAAATGGATGTGTGCAACGCAGAGAAGGAAACGTTTCCGACGCCATAAAGTATATATATTTATGAACAGCATCAATAGCCGAGTGGATATAGCCATGTCTGTCTGTCTGTCCGTCTTGATAAGCGCCTTGATCTCAGAGACTATAAGAGCTAGATCAAATTTTGTATCCAGAATGCTGTGATATCACACTCCTACAAGTGTATTTCAAAAATTCGCCTCGCCCCCTTCCGCCCCACAAAGGACGAAAATCTGTGGCAGCCAAAATTTTAACGATAAGATAAAACCAGAAACGCAGTATCGTAGAGAATGCCAATATCTACCAGATTTCCGAATCTGAATCCGATGGGATCATTATTATAGCCAGAGCAAACTAAGTATTTTTCAGTTGCTTCACCCACCTCGTCCAGCGCTGCTGACGCTACTTATTCTCTTATTCGCTCGCACACACTCTGCCCTGTGTAATGCGCCACATTTTCGGAGAAGATGTAAAATCTAGATGTAGATAAAGATAGCATATGTAGCAAATAAATATAAAATATTTTGAAATTCTGCATAAGCTCAAAAATGTATATACTGACTGAGTACGGGTATAAAAATCGCGTCCCCAGAAGCTGAAATTTTTTTTGTATAGTAGAACTTTGTTATAAAAAATTTTTAAAAAATGGTACATTTTCGTATACGCTTTTCAGAGGTATCGCTTTTTTTTACATAGCTTAACTATCTAACGGCCGTCAGCCATTCGGTTTATAGAGGGGGCTGTCTCGCCATAACTGTACTCTCGGACTAGGATCAGGGCTCGGATCAGGGCTCGCATTGATCCGATGCGGCCTTGCTCCTGGTTCTAGGATCCGGGCGGATCACGAGCGACCAGTCACCCGCCGTAACTGTACACACCGGTGGAAGTGCGACTATGCTCTCCTGGTGGGGGCGGCTGGTAGCAGGTCCTGGTACGGTCTAGTCTCTGCCACGGATGATGGCTAATTTTAGTTTCCTAGGGGGAGCTCGGTGCTGTATATGCGAACTCTGGATGCCGACCTCCAGCTTAAATTAGGCCTCCCGGGGCAAGTGGGCTATGCCTCGGGTGACTATCCCATTTTCCGCCTACTCGTGGGAACAGCATGCCAAAATCAAAAACAAATGGCCAAACACAAGCCGCAAAGGAGCTCGGTACTCCTCTTTAAGTATCGGAGAGACAATCCCTCTACATCTACGCCTGAGAAACCAGGTCCTAAGAAGACGGGGAAGGAGACTAAGTCAGTCCACCTTCTTCAAGCAGAAACAGCTGCGAGGAGGGCTCCGATAAGCCAATCGAGCCCATCCAAATCGGGGGCACCGGGGGCAAACTGATTACACTACTCGACAAAATCGAACTTTTTTTTTTCCTCAAGGATCCAAACCGACTTTTTCTGATAGATATGGGGATTTAAAATTTTTTAAAGAATTATGATTTTTTTTCTATGGCAGAACTTTTTTTTGAAGAATTTTTAAAGTCTGGTATTTTTTGTTTAAGCTTTTTTCAAAGGTAGCGCTTGTTTTTTCACATAGCTCTAGTATCTTATCTTATCTTGTAAAGAACTTTGCTATTTTGAAAAGATAATTAAAACAGCTAGAAGTTAAGCCCAAACACTTTGTGATTACAGCTTACCGTCTGGGAAATATAAAGCATTGAAATGCAAAAATGATGATTTTTGTGCGGTATTTTTTACAAAATTTTGACTTTAAAAACTCAGGAAAAGTCGAAAAAAAACTATATCCTGTGTCCTCTATTTTTTTGTGTATAGGTGCATTAATTTGGCGTCGTTCCAGGTATCGCTCATTAAAATCTATGGAGAGACTTTGGAGCTAAAATTCGTTAACTAAACCTAAAATATGGAAAAAATGAACAAAAAATACCTTTTCGATGGTTGCGAGCTCAACTGCCCATTGGGAATTGGGATCGCGATCAGGTACCAAATGTACAACCCTTTTTCGATTGCTTTGTTCCACATTGGCAGTTGGGCCCGCAACCATCGAAAAGGTATTTTTTGTTCATTTTTTCCATCTTTTGGGTTTAGTTAACGAATTTTAGCTCCAAAGTCTCTCCATAGATTTTAATGAGCGATACCTGGAACGACGCCAAATTAATGCACCTATACACAAAAAAATAGAGGACACAAGATATAATTTTTTTTCGACTTTTCCTGAGTTTTTAAAGTAAAAATTTCGTAACAAATACCGCACAAAAATCATCATTTTTGCATTTCAATGCTTTTTATTTCCCAGACGGTAAACTGAAATCACAAAGTATTTGGGCTTAACTTCTAGCTGTTTTTATTACCTTTTCAAAATAGCAAAGTTCTTTACAACCAGACGTAAGATACTAGAGCTATGTGAAAAAAACAAGCGCTACCTCTGAAAAAAGCTTAAAAAAAATACCAGTTTTCAAAAATTCTTCAAAAAAAAGTTCTGCCATAGAAAAAAAAAAAAAAATAATCAAACTATTTCTAAGCCCCAAATCTTTAAGAAAAAGTTCGTTTTGTTCCTTGAGGAAAAATCGTGTTGACTAGTGTTATCGGGGTGGCTGCCAAGCACAGGGTTATCGTGGCTGGAAAGCGCCCTGTCACCGGGGAACCCCCGTCAACCTCGGCAATCTGAGGTACTGCACCACAGGGAAAGAAGACGTCCTACCAAGACAGGTAGTCTTCTAGGTCTCCTAGGCGAAAAAAGGTTACTCCGCGGGATCTGCAAGTGTCAACTGTCTCTCAGCCACTGACCTCTGAAAAAATGACTGGAATTCCTGTGCGTAAAACTGATTCTTCAGGCTATCCTTCCTCGGATATCTTAATATACGAGCATCACCTGACCGCTTTAAAAACTGTTTCTTTCTCGCTATCAGATAAAGACCATATGATAGTTCTTGGTGATTTCAATTTGCCAGGTACTGTTTGGTTTTCGGTAAACGAGTCTAATAATCTTGTGCCCATGTCACAATATGACTTTATCGGCAGCTTGTTGAAACCTATCCCTATCTCAAGTCAACCATGTGAAAGATTCTTTGGGTCGATTGCTCTCGGATCCGACCATAGTGTTGCTCTTCCGCTCACTATACCTGAAGACTCCTACCATCCTACATTCGGAGTGTTGGTCGATACTGGGCCTACTGTATTTGATCGAACGGGTAGGCATCTGAACGTGTCCGATGTTCTCGTAAAGCCGAGTTTACGAAGCTTAATAATCTCATTAGTGATTATGATTGGTCCGCTTTGTACTTATTCACTGACGTTATGAAAGGCACTAACATTTTTTACAATGCACTCGACACATTTTTTGATTCTTGTGTCCCACTTTTTTTTCAGGTTAGATCTGGGAAGCCAAAGAGTTATGCAGTCTAAAATATTTTAAATCAAGACTTTATAAAAAATTTCGAAAATCTGGCTCTCCCTCTTCTCTTTCTCGCTATGTAATAGCTCGGTCAAATTTCTCCGTTCTTAACGCTGAATGCTATAAAAACTACCTATCTCGATGCAGGATACGATTTTCACAGGACCCTAAACAGATTTACAGCTTCGTATTAGTAAGCGTAGAAAGTCCGTACATCCATCCTCGTTATATTTTCTCAATATGTCAGCAAACAATGATCAGGCAATTGCCGATCTTTTTGCCAAATTTTTCCAAACAACCTATTCTCATTCGGTCAGCCGTATCCATACAGTTTACCAAGGTCGAATTGCATCTTCAGCCCCTTGTTAAATGAAAGCTCACAGCTTCATGATCTTCGACTAGTTAAGCCGGTGTTTTCACCAGGTCCCGACGAAGTTCCCGGCTGTGCACTTAGGTACTGTGGCGATGCTCTGTGTGGACCCCAGCTCAAACTATTCACCCTATCCATCAACTCTTCATGCTTCCCCCCCAAGTCTGATGCAAGTAATTATAGCGGTATATCTAAGTTATCCGCTATTCCTAAAATGTTTGAAAAAATGTTAACTCCGCATTTGCAACATCTCTGCAAATCACTTATATCTCCGTCCCAGCACGGATTTATAAGGCGACGATCAACAACCACAAATTTATTAGAGTTTACCTCTTTTATCATTAAAGGCTTTCAAAGGTAACTTGTAGACGGATGTCATTTACACTGATTTTAGTAAAGCATTCGATTCTGTAAGCCATTCCCTTTTAGCACAAAAACTTGACCTTTTAGGGTTTCCGCCTAATCTTTTGAGATGGATTTCTAGCTACCTTCGTTCTAGGTCTCAAAGAGTCCTCTTCAAAAACTCCTTCTCTTCACCTGTTAAGGTTACTTCTGGAGTACCACAGGGCAGCCATCTAGGCCCCCTACTATTCACACTCTTTATT